TAAAGAATTCGCCTGCCAATGCAGGAGATATGGGTTTGATCCCTGGGTTGGAAGATCCCCTGGAGAAGAGAATGGCAACCCACTCGTCTTGCCTAGGCAATCCCATGCACAGAGGAACCTGATGAGCTACAATCCACGGGGTCACAAAGAGTCAGACACAGCACAGCAACTAAACAACCACATAATGGTTATGAAGGCAAGGGTCCCAGGGATCTTTTACATGGTTGTTATGAAAATTCACATTACAAAAAGAACTTGGTAAAGAGCTACTCTTAAGAACTCCCACAAGATTCCAATTAACTTCTCACCCAGTCCAGCAGTTGTCTTGCCCTCGCTGTGGGCAGCTCGGAGCTGAGCCACCAGGTCCGCGCTGTCGTAGCCTGCGTTGTCAGCTATGATAGTTGGCAACTACAAAGTGAAGGGGACATGGTAACTATCTGCTCTACCTACAGGAAGTTCACTTACCAACGAGAAGAGAAGCTTTCTAAAACTGTACATTCAGAAATAATGTAAAATCTGTTTCCTCTTAATTTCTGCTCATAAAGAGATTTATAAACTCCAAAATCAAACTTAAGCAGTGTGAACCAATTCTTTTCTTAAAGCCAAGAAAGGAAACATTTTCTGTCCAAGATAAAAGAATGTATTCATTTAAAAACCATCAATACCTATAAAATTTAAATTCAGGGCTCCCTTTTTTCATTAACTTACCATTCTCAGGGCTTTAGCATAAGACTCCATTGCAACAGCTTCTTTGCCTGGTGTTCTACTGGCAAGCTGTGTCACGGCATGAGCCATCAGCATCTCAGAACAGCCTACAGATTAAAATTCCAAAAACATAAATTGTTATGCTCAGTTGCCTCCAAGACACTAAATAAGACTTCCTTTAAGATCTATAAAAAATTAAGTGCAAAGGCAATACAAAGTAAGAAGCATTAAAAGTCAAAAGCCACTACTACACTTCAATAAATAGAACATGTTCAATATTTTTCAAATGCTTACCTCCTCCATAAACTGTTCTAGAATCTTTCACAGTTTGCGCAAGAACACAAAGAGCATCATGCAAAGATCTTTCTGCTTCATCTAAAATTTGTTGAGTGGCACCACGCAGAACAATGGTGCAAGCCTCACCTAAAATTAAAAATAATGTTTTCAAGTCACAATGAACTCAAGTTGTACAACATAAAAATTTGCCTTCTATTATTTAGGTTATATTATCTGGTTTTGAAAGCGGATATGTCATTTTATTGCTGCACATTCTCTTTGCTAACAATCCATATTCCTAGAAGTTGTAAATTATCTAAAACAATTATATTGAATATACATTGCTCACAAAGGCAAGGTTAACAGGCTACCCTCAAGAGACTGAAATTAGCATACACGTTTTTCAAGAATTAAGACATATATTCTAGTAACTATAGTAACTGTTTCTTTCACTTCAACAGAGCCTACAAAAGGTTTAGGAACCTAAACCAGAATCTATAAATAACAACTCACCAAGGGCTACCCCAGAAAAGTGAATGAGTTTGTCTTCTCCAATCATGACTTCCTCAATAAGTTTGCAACTTCCAAGCTTCACTAGCTCTGGATGGTCAAAGGTAGAGGCAATTTCACCACCTACGAACAAAAATATTCATTAATTAAATGCACAATAGGTTTGAAATTTCTGCTTTCTCACAAGCAGAAATGAACAGAAAACATATTAAGTTGACTGTTTACTGTATGCCAAGCATTCTGAAGCACTTTATACAAACTAATTATTTAATCTTCACAACAACCTTAAGATGACAGGCTTTATTTATCACTCCATTTAGAAATGGTAAAACTGAGGCAAGGAAATGTTTCGTTTTCATCTAAGGTTACCTATTTCAAACAAATACGAAACTGAAATTCAAATACAAGCAGTTTGGCTTCAGACCTCTATGCACGCTATATAATTCCACCTTAACTGAGACTTTGATATTTACTTTAAGCCTAAATTTATCAACAAATTCAGACTTTCTTCTAAATTCAGTATAAAAGACAGGTACTCTATGATCCAGTATCACCAAACATGAAAATATCTGGCTAATCTTATTGTATCAACAGGTACACTGACATTAGGAACTGTTTCAAATAGTGAGCACTTGGTATCTGTGAATTATTACAATAGCTGAAGTGTCAGAAAGCTCCTATAATATAAGGCCTAGAGAGGGGGGAAATGTATACTGAGGATTTCCCAGAACAAACTTAACGAGAAGGCAAAAAAGCAAATTCATTTTCTTCCTGAGGTCTTCCTTTTATTCCTATCTTCCCTCCATCTTCCATGCTATGAACATTTCCTTTCCTGGTTCTTAATTAAGCAAAAGTTAGGTTTCCATTTTAAAATCCTTTTCTCAGACTTTCCTGGTGATCCACTGATGAAGACTCTGTGCTTCCACTTAAGGGTGCACGGGTTCGATTCATGGTCTGGGAACTAAGATTCCACTTGCTGCATGAGGCAGCCAATAAAATAAATAAAATAAAACCCTTTTCTCTCTTCACTCTCTCTCTTAATAGATACCCTCAATCATCAACCCAACCCCTTTTCCTATACCTTAATGATAAATCTGCTAAATAATTCACGCTTTATTTCTATTGTATAATTATAAAAAGGACTCTGGTCTTCCCAACTCTACTAACTTATACTCATTTGTACAGCTGAAGCTCTTATTTTTGGTTGGCAAATTCCAGAGACAGTTCTGGGTTCTAGACGTGAGACACAAGAGAGGTTTGGGACATCATATGCCCCAAGTGAGACCAATTTGGCATATGAGAATTTTCACTGACCCTACACTCACTCACTCATGTACACCTGCTTACAAAACATTTAAAGATCATTTTCAAGACCCAATTTCACACATCTTGACAACAGATGAGTTTACTAAGGATGAGAGCCACCATAGAGTCTACTTCACAGCCATACAGTTGGTGTGTTTGAAGGTAAATCTTCTGAATGTATGTGGCAATTTCACATTATCAAGTCCTTGTGATAACAACTTATACCATGAATGTGCTATCAGTCACATTTCTTGTATCTTTAATTTTGTTGCATTAAGAAAGTAAATAAATATGAGCATCATAGGATTTATCACTTAAGTATCAAATATGCAGTAACTTCTAGGCAGGTAGACCCACCTCCAAGTAAAACGTCGCTTTTTAGAGACTATTCTCAAATTACTGAAAATAGATTAAGAAGTTATTTTGGAATAAATCCAATCCTACCATCTACTTAGTATAATTTCGTCTAATACAAACAGCAGTTCCAAACTGAATGTGGTGTTCCTAGTGGCTTTACATCTAAACCCCATCCTTGGAACTCTCATTGCCAGATCACAAACCAACTTTCCAACCTATTCATTGTCAAGCTCTTGAAACAGGATAAATGCTGTTATACTTAAGTTTTCAAAGGCTACTTAGCAGTTACCACTATTAAAAAAGTGAATAACTGCACTGTAAGTCATTTTGATGTAGACATATCTGTAAATGTGCTTTTTAGCCTACACTGAGACTATAAAACCCATACCTGTACTGAACGATACTGGAGTAAACTAACTTTTCATAATACACTCCTGGACGGTTTCACACTTATTCAACATTACTTTCATAAATTTTAAAAAATGAACAAAAACAATGTTTAAGAATCCGACCCACTGCCTGGCACACAGTTAAGCGTTCAATAGAGCACTATCTGCCGGGCAGACAGAGTGAACAGAGGGTGCCACGCCAGGCACAGAGTGGACGCTGCTCACTCAGTGCTAGAATTCAATGAATAGACTAAGTAAAACTTAAGCCTCCTTTCTGTAAGCTTCAGTTTATTTAGACTATGTTTAGAGCAGTGGTTCTGCGGGTTTGTGAGAAAAATATATAGTACCTTTAAAACAACACAGCAAAAATAAATCTAAACCTACAGTGAAGCTGGCATTTGATATGTTAAAAATTAATGTAACTAAAAGATATCAAAGATTCAGAATAGCTGTTTAGATTCTAGGCACCTTAAGGTACCCTTTTCAGGTACAAAGTACTTTCTTCATACTTTCAGAAATGAGTTACATACACTAATTCTCAATACATTCAAGAGTGATTATGTTACAAGTTAATGTCTTTTTTTCATACCTGTGACAAGAGCGAGGCGTTCCACGCCTGCAAAATCTGCATGCTCAATAGCCATAACACCAGCAGCACCGAACAGTTGTTCAGGATAATTATAAATTAGTTGCCTATAAATCAGAATATGAAAAAACACTTAAAAATTGTTACTTCACAGGATAAAATACATCAGACTAAGAAAAACATGAAAACATTTTTACCTCACCAGCAATCAAAGAAAGAAAAGGTTTCATACAAGTATATTAAATGATTTAGTAAGGCAAATGCCTTGCTATAAAATCTTATTTATATCTGGGGGAAAAAAACCACTTCCTAAATAACAAACAACTAAATTCTATAAGAATTTTCCTAAATCGTTCCAGAAAAACAGGGCCCTTTCTTGGATCATTGTATTTTTAGCACAAATACACACAGACCTGTTAATAAAGCAATTTATCCCATGTTTAAGAATACGTTCAACTTTCTCCTTCATTTTTTCCTTTTCTGCGTGTTCTATTTCAGCAACCTTTGCTGTAGAATCAACTCTCACCCTGGAGCCAAATATCTAAAACAAAGGTAAGCATAAAAAATAGCATCACTTTCCTTAAGTTTCACAGCATACTTAAAACTTTTAAATGTAAATGCAACAAAACTGTGTGCATTGTGAATGCATGCGTACAATATTCATATATATTCACATATATATATATATATCAAGTGTAACTGATTCCCAACCGAAGTTTATAGCTGCTAACAACCAGAAATCCAGGAAATGTAGTTAATGTACCTTAATTTTGTCTGTATCCATACCAGTATTTGCAATAAGAATTTTAGCATTTTCAATTCGTTTTGGTTGATTTACACCAATTTTTTTATCCAACAGAAAGCCTGTTAAAACAGAATTTTATTAAATACTTCAAAGCTGTATTAATGAATCTTTTAAAGTGATATGCTTTATCAAATTACTCTTTCAAAGAATGCATTTCTAGTCCAATTCATCAAGCTCCTAGAACCTAAATTGCATTCCACACCAGTGACCATAAAAATTTAATTTAGCGGATTTAAAAAATAACATGTAAAAAAAGAAAATATGAGGCATAGTAGAAATATGAAAAGTAAACAGATCATTTTTTTGTACAACTCATATACTTCAATAAAAATGAGCTAATAAAAAAAAGTTATTTTTGAATCTATCTCAGATACATACTACATTTGCAGGTGTGTGAGTTGCAATGCAAAGTTATTAATCCACTTTCATTAGCTTAAAACCAAAACAAAACAAGCTTTTAAGATTCAGACACACAGGGTATTGCTAGAGGCTACTGTACTTCTTAAAAAACTGAGGCTGTGATAACATGAAACACCATGGACAGCGGTCAGACAAACCTGTCCCCCTCGTGCTCATGCTGCTTATGGGCTACGTATACAAACTTGGACCAAATTTCCAACCCTAACTACTCATTTATAAACAGGAGTACCAACAGTGGCAAAGATGCCATTACTAGCCAAGGGCTCTGAAACAATCATACAAATTGAGTACGGTATATCTTTCCAGGCTTCCTTTAGATACATCTTTTATCTTTTAACTCATTTATCACACCTTGGGTTTTCTGCTCTATTCAGCTGAACTTAATTCTCACTCAAAGGATCAGCATCATGATAAAGAAGTGAGACTTGATGCCTGTACGGATGGTGGTGGCCCGAGAGGGTCATATTTAACGGGGGGAAAGGCATTCCAGGTTTGCTCTTTTAACTACAAGTTTACAGAGCTCTAAAACAGAGGTCCCATCCGACAAGATCAAAGCTGCAAGAGAATGCACAGTGAGGTACAGAGAGATGGAAGGATCTTGGATTTGATTGATGATGCTTGGCAAGAAGACAAGTTGCCTTATGAGGATGTTGCAATACCACTGAATGAGCTTCCTGAACCTGAACAGGACAACGGAGGCACCACAGAGTCTGTTAATGAACAAGAGATGAAGTGGACGGACTTGGCCTTACCATACCTCCATGAGAATGTTCCACCCGTAGGAAACTGACACCTGGCTCCTTGTTCATCGACAGATTTTTTTTTTTTTAATACAGATACAAAACATTTTCTTTCCGTCTAACTTAAATCTTTTAGTGATAGGTCAATGCTCAAAAATATACAACTAATTTTGTGGCAACAACATGTAATGTGAAAATACTCAAATCAGGTTGAGAAGTTGTTTGCAGTTTCTTAGGGATGTAGAACATCTGGCCCTTTGCAGCTAAAGTTCTTCATTGACTAGCTTGTGTTTGAACATGATTCATTAAACATTTGCCTTTAATTCTGATTTTGCTTTACTGTCAGAGTTCATCACTTCTCAACTACTTATATGTGTCCTGTGACACAAGTGATTGAGGATTTGAGAGGGAAAGGTGAAGAAAGATGAAGTCAGACATGAGAATGAACTCATATCTCCCCATTCTAAGAATCATCTGAGTGGGTATGTGTGGAGTCTGTAGATGTGGATACATAGCCTGGTCACTGACTACTGGGATTCCTAAAATTCCCCATGATATTTTCAAAACTTCGGATAAATTTACAAATTAAAAGCCATCTTGACAATTAAAAAAAAAAAAAAAAGAAGTGAGACTTGAGTGCAATTCCTATTAGAATGCCTGGCACAGGGCAGACATTCAGTGGTCACTATCCTTGCCTTAATTATCTTTCTCTACCACCAAATCCAATTAGAAATGCTATACATCCCTTGCCTATAAATTCAACCAAGAGTATTTTCAAAATTGTTACACCTCTGAAAGAGAGACAAGAATTTTTGCAACAAAACCCAGACTCCAATTACTGACTAGTAAAGCAGAAACTATGAAGTGTAATCTATTCCTTTTTTTCCCCTTCTCTATAGAATGCCTACACTTTCTACAGGTCCCTCTGTGAAGTCAATGTACTGTGAACATACCTTAAGAAAAACACACACTATTACTAAGGACAGAGCCTAAAAATACCAAGACATTTATCACTCCTCAAGAACGCCAGAAACTGCTCCTTCAACATCTGTCAACCAATTAACATGACCTACCCAGACCCTTCCTGGAGAACACTTGCAATCCTAGAAAAAATACCAGTTGACAATAGCTGACTTTAAGTAGAAGAAAACTAAGTCTCTTTATTAAACTGTAACTTACTTTATGGTATAAACTAAAACCTAGAGGTTATCAAAGAAATGCTGGGATAGTATGAGTAGGTCAAGTACACTGTCAATATAACAAGTGGATTAAGATGGCAAAAATCATTGCAGTATGATTTGTTCCCTTAATGTCAAGTCTTCTCGCTTTGTAAAGTGCCACTAGTCCTGACTAAATAAATTAGAATTCACTCAGTTATTAAGGTTTCAACATCTGGTCAACACATTTTTTTTCCCATATACAATATATACCTACCTTCATCTAAATAGGAATCTGCCAGACTTCCTCCTAGCTTTTTGATGACATGAATTGCCTCCAGGTTACCAGAGCCTTTTAGTCTGAGAACAGCTTCCACAGCTAACTTAGTAAAGTGGTCTTTATGATGAGTAAGAAGTTTTGAGGAAAGTGTTGTTCCTGCAATGTTCATTAAGTCTTGACGGAACTTAACTTCATCAGAACTAAAAAACAAACAAAAAAAAACACCAAGCAAAAAAACTCATGCCAGTTCTTAAAATGCTTCTCCAAAGTTATCAACCTTGTTTTACTTTTCCAAAATTTATCCAAACAGTGTTTGTCAATAGATACTGTTACCTAAACCAGTGAGGGTTCTTTTTTTTTTTCCAGTCAGGATTCTTAAGTCACATGAAAAAAATTAAACCTTATCATAAGTAATCAAGAAATACAAATAAATGGATACTATTTTCCCCACCAAGCTGGCAAACTACCAAAACAAAAACACAAGCAAACAAAAATTTCAAGAACATGGGGAAAGAAACACTTATACAGCCAGTGGATCTGTAAATTAATGATTTTTTTCTAGAGAACTACTTGTAAGGTAAACAAACACAGGTATCTCTGGACCCAGAAATTATACTACTTTTTAAAGTGACAACTTTGTCACAACATTGTAAAATAAAAAATTGTCAAAACTCAAAATCTCCAATTATAGATAGGTAAATTACAGCAGTCACATAATCAAATGCATGTACCGCTAATAAAGTACAGACACCTAAAATTCGTGCTTGCTATTCAACTAGGTTAAAGAGACTAAAAAATCCTGTATATAATGATACTACTTTATTGTGATTATATATGCAAAAAGCCAGAACCCCAAAATTTAACTTTAGTGACTACCTCTGGTGGGTAATGTGGGCTTTTCTGGTTGCTGTTGAGGCAGAATGAGGTAACAGAATCATGTCCATCATGTGTGCTTTCCACTGCTCTCTAGAACTCCTGAGCTGAGTGTATTTTGGGAAGAATGTTCAGTGTTTAAAGCAGTAGTACTGTGGTATACCAACCCGTGGTCGACTGCAGAATTCAACAGAGCCTGTCTTGCTGCCTTTGTGGCCTCTCTCCAACCCGCAATAATGGTCTGCGGATGAATCTTTTTTGCAATTAAGGATTCTGCTTCCTATTAATAAACAGTGGAAACACACATCAATAGCCAATTTGTAGTAAGAAAGATTCTGATTACTGATGACACTCAATACCAGAGTAGGAAAAAATATCCAGTGAGGTGAGGTTGAAGTCACTCAAATATTCTTACCCTCAGCAATTCTGCTGCGAGAACAGTAACAGAGGTAGTGCCATCACCAACTTCATCGTCTTGAACTCTTGACATATCTAGGGGGAAAAAGCTAGTTAACAACTCACCTATATGTGATTCTGCTTTTTAAATTATTAATACTCCTTGGTACCTTATCTAATTTTCCAAACATACTCACTACCAGTCTAAATCTTACTTATCTAGGTGTCCTCACCTAACAAAATCTTTGGAAATTTTTAGTCTGAAACACAGTAGTTTCACCATCAGTAAGTACATCACACTCAAAAGACTCTGTTTAAAAAATTTTACTCAAGTATAGTTGACTTAAACTGTTAATTTTTATTATACAACAAAGTGATTCAGTTGTACATATATTCTTTTTCATATTATTTTCAGTTACAGCTTATCACAGGATGCTGAATACAGTTCCCTGGACTATGTGTTAGGGCCTTGTTGTTTATCCATTCTATATACAATTATAGTTTGCATCTGCTAATCCCAAACTCCCAATACTTCCTTCTTTCACCTCTCCCTTCCCTCCTGGCAACCACAAGTCTGTCTGTGTATCTGAGTCTGTTCTTATTTCATAGGTTATGTTCATTTCTGTCATATTCCACAAATAAGGGATATCATATGGTATTTTCCTTCTCTAACCTACTTCACTTAGTTTGATAAGCTCTAGGTTCATCCATGTTGCTACAAATGGCATTATTTCATTCTTTTTTATGGCTGAGTAATATTCCATCATGTTTATGTACCACATGTAGGAGTTTGTATTTTAATAATGATAATTATCAATTAAAAGGTAGACCTCAATTAATCAAAAGGACAGTCAGTCAACACAGTCTATTTAAAAACTGTTTCCAAATGTTAACAAATGTCATCCTAAGACTCACCAACTAAAACTTTAGCAGCTGGGTTATCCACACCAATGTTTTTTAAAATAGTTGCACCATCATTGGTTACCATAAGAGATGCATCTCGTCCACTGCTTAACAGAATTTTGTCCTAAAAGGAACATATTTGCTTCAGGTTAAGACAGAAGTAGATCTGGAATGATGCTTGGATAATCAGCACTCTCAGATTGCTAATGTGTAAATACTCTGAAGGGTTATATAACTCCAAATTTTTTCACTGTACATACCCCCTCCCAAAGTAAACCTTGATGTCCTACCCTTATTCCTAGAGACACTAGGAGAGAGACATGAACAAGGCTGTTTGAATACTGTAAGAGAAAAACTAAGTGTACCTCTCAATACAATAATAAATACAAACAATAAAATAAGAAAGATGCAGAAGAGTATTTGACAGAGCAGAGGGAGTATATCTAGCTAGAATGAAAAAAACCGAAGCTACAGAAAAAGTACACACCAATCGTTATCTTTGATGAGACAAAATAACATCATGAGGAGAATATATAAACTAGTTATCTTGTAATTCATAAGATACTTGTACATCCACATAAAAATAAAGACAGCCGTTAGATTTATATCCAAAGGATACCAGAGGTTATCACTGGGGAAGGGAGTGACATTGGGGATAGTGATCAGAAGGAGACTTTAGTCCTAGGGGTACGGTCTTGATTTTCAGTAAGGAGAATGTACCCATGTATTAATTTTTATAATTAACAGTTAAGTTCTAAATGTGAAAAAGCACCCACAAGTTTTTGTATTCCCAAGGGCTCTAAAACGACATTAAAATACTAAAATTCCCTGCTTTTCTTACCATGCCCTTGGGTCCCAACGTGCTCTTTACCAAGTCTCCAATAGCAATGGCACCAATAAAAGACGACTGGAATAAAAATCAGAGATGACCAAAATAAACTTCAGTCTTAGAATCGTAAAACAAACAAAAAACCACTCTTCTATCTCTGTAAGGAGGAGGAAAAGGCTTACCAGGCGAGCTGTCTCTGCTCTCTCTTCATCAGCTCCAGCCTTGAAGATATTAACAGGTGCAAGGGAAAGGGACGCCTAAAATTGAAAACCAAGAATCAGCTTGAATACCAGTATTCTTTACCATACATACCTACTAGACTTAGGAGACTTAGACTTACTAGACTTAGAAGTAGATACCTAAGAGAACACGAATTTAAAGAAGAATGTTTCTTTTTAAGCAAATGAAGAACTCCATGATTAGGCAGTCATTTATTTAAAGTGAAAGGAGGGACTTAGGTGACATTCCTTTTTTGGATATCTTAAGCGCTCCGCGAAAAAAATTCTACACCGAAGATATTGACTCTAAGTGTGGCAGGACCTAAGACCGCAAAAATGATTTTAAACTAAAAATAAAGCTGGCAGGGGTGGGCAGGCCAGTCGCGCGAGGACCGCCAGGAGGGGAAGGGAACGCGGCAGCCTCGCTTCCATCACCGCCCTCGGGCCGCTCCAGGCTCCGCCCTGACAGGGAGGGCGGGGCCCGGCTCGCCGACCCGCCCGGTGCACTAGAAATTTCTTAAGCTTAGGGTGAGTCCTAGGATTCGAGGTTCTGGGCCTATCCAAGGACCGAGTCACAACAAATACCTGCCTTCAGGCCCACCCTTCCTCCTGGCTCACAGGGAGGGCCTCACCCGCAGGCCAGGCGCAGAGCACACGCCGCGGCCTG